TAATTCGTTTTTTTTTTTTTTAAATTTCGTTTATCTTTTTATTTATTTTTAAGTTTTTTCCAATTAACAAAAACATTTCTTTTTTTTTTAACTTGTTATAACCTGAAATTTTTAATGCTATAGCTTGAAAGTCTAAATCTACTGTTATAGCTTGAAAATAGTACTATATTATATGTCATATATGAAATTTACACTTTTTGTATATATCTAATGTATATCAGAGTATATCGGATGTATACAACCCATTTTTCCGCTTTCCGGGACCTGTACATCAATTCCAAAGACCTGTTCTTCGATTTCTCAAGGTTGACTGACTCGATAAAAGAATTTTAGGCCTCCATGGCCCATTGGAGGAGGAAAACGAACGAGAAAGAATCCATTTGGACTCCAAAGAGATTTGGCAGACAACAAGACAAAATAAGATGAGGATCAGTATCAATTTCCAATAGAAACAAGCAAATGATGAAGTAATATGAAGCACTAACAAGAGAATCATAAGAATACATAATATGAGAAAGTAAGGCACAAACATAGGAAATGAACAAGAAATTAATAAGAGCAGGGGCATTAATATTATCTCATGACCAAACAAATGACACATGCCATACATTTCGACATACATTTAACAACAAACCAAACTATAATCCATTTGAAAAGTTCAAAGATTTAACCGGCTGCATCCCATTATAAAATAAAAATTAGAAGCATGATTTCTCTTATAACTTTGCACTAAGATAATAACTTTAAAATCCCGCACCACCGCTAATCATAAATAATTAAGCAACAAACTTTAAACGAAACTTGATCATGCTGAAAAGATGAACTCAACAAACATTCAAGATGAACTTAAGCGGAAAACAATATCCTTCGATTCGAGATGAACTCAACAAACATTCGAGTAAAGAAATGAAAATAAAATAAATAAAATGGGCAGCACTAAAGATACAAGATCGAACTTAAGAGACTTCAAAAAAAAAAACACACACACAATCATGAGTTGCAAACACGACTACAACAACTGAAATATAAGAGAAACACAACCAACATTCAAGCTGTGTTTGCACAGAGATAGATTTTATAATATCGAGGCAGCATATAAGAGTTCAAAATGACCGAAACGACAACCAAGGGGACAAACGAACAGTAAAGAAGACACAACTGTGTAACCAACACATTCGAACTGAAAACAAGTGAACATCAAACCATTTTAGACAAAACGAGGCCGAGATTCAACTAGTCATATAGATATAAATCGAGTTAATGAACATAACGATCAACATATAATATCAAAGCAAACTTCATTGATGTCGAATCCATCCTTACTGTCCAAAAACTCGCAGGAAAACAAGATTAAAGCGAGTGCTAAATGAAAGAACCAAATACTCTTATTAACAGACCCTATATCAAGTGTTGAACACACACAACGTCCTACATTGAAACAGAATACAAAAGAAGGCGAGGTTACCTTTTTTCGGGCAGCGATTGGGACGACGAGCTCGATTATGAAGCAACCCCCACTACCACAACAAAGTTTCATTGGAGAATCCTCCGAGTTCCCGAAACCAATGTTTTATTAGGAAAATATAATTTAGACTGATTTTAAGAGTCGCCACTTAATTTTTAAGGTGAAATTAAGAAAACCAATTTTTTTCAACAGATTAAAATAGAAATCAATTGAAAATATACAAAAGGTTCGAGGTTCTTATTAGCATTTTGAGAAGGGGTTTAAAGCACCCAAAATGTCCGCTAATACTCGGTTATCCGGCGATTAATTATTTGGCTAAAATAATTTAACTCAATTCATTTGGGCAAAAAAATTTATAGTTAGGACCATTTTAAGGGAGAAAAACTATTGAAATATTATCTAAACTTGCTGCGTCGTTTCGCTGAAGAATAAGAAGCGCGGGTCTGGGTCGGTCGGGTACTGTATGGCGTATTGTATGCTGTATTGTATTGTTGTTGGGTTATTTGTAATAAGAGTGTTGGGACTGGGTTATTGTTGTAAGAGCTAGTGGGCTGCTGGAAAATGAATAGAGAATGGAGTGGGCTGAAATGGTTTAAGGAAAAAGGCCCAAAATGATATTGCAATTGTTTTAGAGGGAGGTAAAAAGGAGCAAGTTTTGAATTAAGAATTTGATCAAATTGATTGAAATCGTAGCCAATTAAAATTAAGAACTTAGTCAAATTGAATTTAATTAGCAAATTTGACTTATAATTAAAGATGACAAATTAACATAATTAATTAATGAGCTTCCTAATTTAATCGATTATAAAACAATTAATTTAATTACAAACTAATTAACTAGAAACTATAACTTAAACTAAAGTAAATTAATAAAATACTTAACTAAAATGTAAATCTTTTGAGATAATTTTCGATATTTATAAAATAACGTGATTGTCAAAATTGAGTGTCAACAATTGATTCATGTAATTAATCAAGAATTGAACAATGTTACAATTTTAATTTCTTGTTCCTCATCTAATTTCAGTATTCGTATTGATATTTGATTAATTTGAATTACACCATAAATAGACCAAAATTAGCAAATATTACACTTTAAATATGAATTTCCTAAAAATCTTTTTTTCCCTCATAGTTCTCATTAAATTTAACAATCATAATTTTTTAAATATTTGAAGGAAAACAAAAGTAATCAAATTTGACCATCTTAAATGACTAGACTGCTCAATAATATATTTTAAAAACTATTTAAGACTATCAACGTGGATTGCAATGAAATAATGGTTGAAATATCTTCAACTTTGACCAAAATTCTCGAGTTCAAACCCGGGAATGAAAAAATCTACCAAATTTCATATAAAGTCAAATATTTTCTTTCATTTGACAAGAATAAGTAGGAGTCAAACTTTGATCCTCTTAATAGTTACATCGGATTAAAATGGAAAATAAATATATGATATTAGCCTTATTAAGAAATGATTTAATTCCTAGTTGTTCAAAACTATGACTCATCAAAGAGAATCATATCTCTATAATCAACTTTTGGTGTTTTTTCCTTTTTTGACATAAAATTAAATATTTTCAATAAAACTAAATCAGTATATATAAATGATTGCAAAATACCTTTCCTACACTAATTTCTATACAAAATGGAAAAATCACTCCATTTTCACCTTTTCATATCAATTTTTTTCTCAATTTTGTTTGCAGTTTGGGGCAATGAAAAATATTTTTCACCCCTAAACTCCACTTTAATTAAACAAGCTAAAGAAAGATTTATGTCTCTTGATCCATCTAAGCTTCCGGATCCTCCAATGCCATCCTATGCTTTTACCATTTACCATCGCGATGTATTTGAAAAGTCAAAGTTCAAGAACTATGACTCGTTACTTAAAAATAGGCTTGCTCGATGTGAGGATAGAGCAAATTATATAGCTTCAATTCTTGAGGACAACAACAATGTCAAAGAAGGTGCAAATTTTAAAATCCTCGAAAAGGCTCCAAAATCAACAAGTGTTTATTTTGCACATGGTGAGTATGTTGCGTCTTTTTTGTTAGGCAGTAGCGAAGTTAAGACTTTATTGCAAATAGACACTGGTAGTGATTTAGTTTGGTGGCAATGTGGACCATGTGAGGCAAATAAGTGTTACAAGCAAGTAGATCCTTTATATTTCCCTACAAATTCGAAAACATATCGAAAAATCGATTGTATCTTACATGGTTCAAGATGTTTAGATGATGTGGACAAAACTTATAAATGTAATGCTTATAATAATGAGTGTACGTACGATATTAGATTTGTAAGTGGACAAAGATCTAAGGGTTTTATGGGAGATGATGTTATTACTTTTGTTTTAGACCATCGACCCATTAGGGTTACATTTGGATGTGGCAAAGATCAAATGGGTCGAGCCAGTTTTAGTGGTTACTATTCTGGAATGGTTGGTCTTGGGCGAAGAGTAAATGTCGGATCATATTCATTACCATCACAATTTGAGGCGGATTTAATGTCCATATGTCTACCCGGATTTTTTTCGGGAAAGTCATCTTCTCTTAGTTTCCATACCGCCACGTGGCCAAGGACAACATCGGCAAAATTATTACAAAATTATAAATTCCCTTTATTTTATTATGTCAACCTTTATAAAGTTTTTATTAACGATAAGGAAATTCCGGTCCACCCATCATGGTGGACTTTTACAAAAGGTGGTGGTGGTGGGGTTCTTGTGGATACAGGTACATTTATTAGTCGATTTCCTCAGGATTTGTATACCGTATTCCGTTACATATTCAGAAGTGAAATAAAAGATATTCCTCTGGTTGAAAGTCCATACAAGTCTCTAGACACATGCGTTAAAGCGGATCCAAGTGGACGAGAGTTGTACTTTCCTGTTGTGAAGTTGTACTTTGGCGATGTAAACCCTAAGAACATGTTGTTATTGGCAAAAGAACGAGTTATGATACACTTTGATGGATATTATTGTTTGGCTTTCATGGGGTGGAATAGATCTCATTCAATAATAGGAACTAATCAACTTCAAGGTATAGGATTAACTTTTGATACATCAGAAAATACTTTGTCATTTGATTTAGATGCATGTAGTTGAGATTTATAAATTTCAAAATGTTACAATTTAAAGTTTGTATCTTTTATTTATTAGTGAAATCATAAAAGCTATGGCCATATATAGATGTTGTTGTTTTTCTTTGGTTCGAATCTTGTATATGTTACTAGAAATACAGTTTCATTGACATTCGCGTGATTACTTAATGTTGTTTTTCTTTGATTCGAATCTTGTATATGTTATCATCTCGTTATGTGTCCTTATGGTTACATTCCTAAAATTAGGGATGAACATTTGGTTTTTCGGTTGAGCTTTGTATTATTCAATTTCGATTGAAAAAAAATGTTATTTGCTCCGAACTAATTAAAACAAATTTGGTTTGGGTTTTCTCTTTTTAAGTTAAATTATCTCATATAAGATAATATCAATATAATATATTTCAAAAACTATTATAGAGAATGAGAAGCAACAATCTTAAATCACATAAATATTTGTTTCCTACTCAATTAATGATTAATACATTGGACGAGAGGGAGTTGCTCCGATGGTAAACACCCCTCACTTCCAACTCGAAGGTTGCGCGTTCGAATCACCAAGGGAGCAAAAAGGGGTGGGAGGAAAAAAATGATTAATACATTGTGAATGGTGAAACTACATAAATACTCCCCCTGTCCCTAATTACTAGTAGAATTAAAAACTTAAGATTTTCAAGAATATCCACCCTTTTCAAAGTAATTAATTGAGGCTATAATAGGTAAAAATTTTTTTTGTCATTTCTTGATTTGTCAAAATGAACAAGTAATTAGGGACAACTAAAAATGGAAAAGTGGACAAGTAAAAAGTGATGGAGGGAGTAAAGTTCCAAAATAGCATAGATTTCCATGATAATTCATGAGATTCAATACTTTGTTTAGGAATTATTTTTATTGCAAAATTAATTATGTTTCTTTCTTTGATAATATAAAAATCAAAAGGGCGTCAAATTCTGAACCTCATAGTGATTTTAGAAATGATAAAAAGGAAAATAAATAAATATTGGCTTCTAAAAGAGAATCAAATCTCTATAACTAACTTTGTTATTATTATTTTTCCTGTTTTGGCATAATTACAAGAAATTTCAAAGATATTTTAAAATTTAAAAACATTTAAAAACTCTATCAATATGATAAAATAAATAAATATATATATACATCTTAAACATTAGTCAAAGTCGAGATCGTTTGACTCCTATGAAAATTTACTATTGGTATTCATTATGTCTTAATAAGGAGTATAATTCATTTTGTAGTTGGAGAGAACTAAATTTACATAATAATTTGACTACTTTCTTTTATTTGACTACTATGTTGACATAAAATTGAAAAAACTAGTATATACATACATATATATTTCAAACCAAATCAAGCAATTACAAAAATAATTTCTATACCAATGGAGAAGTTTCACCTTTTCATTTCAATTATTTTCTCAATTTTGGTTGTAGTTTTGAGCTATGAAAAATCTTTTACACCCCTTAACTCAAGTTACATCATGGAAGCAAGAAAAAGATTTATGTCTTTTGATACAACTAAACTTCTAGATCCTCCAAGGCCATCCTATATTTTGTCGACCTTTATAAAGTTTTTATTAACGATAAGGTAATCCCATTGTTTCCATCATTTTTGCGGAATATTGGAAATGACATGACCGGTGGTTGCATTGTGGATACAGGAGCAACTATTACCAATTTCCCTCCAGATTTTTCTTATGTATTCCGCGATACATTCAGAGAGGAAGTAAAAGATATTCCTTTGTATGATGCTCCACTTGGATCATTTGACACTTGCTATATGGTGGATCCAGGTGTGGTACCAACTTTCCCATCGTGAAGATGTACTTCGGTCACCAAAGCCCGGAGAATTTGTTGTTACTAGAACAACAACGAGTCGTGGTGCATGAGAGGGGGCTATTCTGTCTGGCTTTTAAGAAATGGAACCACCCCCTCGCGATTATAGGAAGTTATCAACTCCAAGGTATAGGATTAACTTTTGATACTGCAACAGATACTTTGTCTTTTGAATTAGATGCATGTAACTAGTTACTAGTTTGTTTTCATCTTTTTTTTATTATTATTGTCTATTGACACCAATGTTGCTATTATTCAAATATAAATTCTCGATTTTAGGAATTTCGTTAAAGGTGTTCAGAACTTTAGCATATATCTCTAAAATGTCATTTTTGACCTATATACACAGATTAATTTCTTATATGCAACCTTAACGGAGGGTGTTCAAGTGACCACCCTTGGGTCAATGCAACCGTATTTCAGGGTCCCCTGTTTGGTCATATAGAATCGAGCAACTGTTCAAACAGAACACGACAGTTCCATACGCGTTCGATATGGCTTGTTGTTTGAAAGATGTAGAGAGGTTAAAGCAGAGCAATTGTGAAAACTCGCCAATTAGTTCCATGCCAGGAAGACTAATGCCTAAAAGTTTGTTCTCATCAAGATACCAGCAATGAACTGTTATAAGTTTGAAATACGAAACCTTTTGTCTAATTGTGACCAAGAAGCCATTATATTAAAATGTCAGTTAGCAAAAAGGGTAAATATGCACCATTTATTAAATGAGGGGTATATATGCATCACTTTTTTAACGAGGGTATATCCGCTCTAAATCACAAAGTTAATGGACATATTTTGTAGAGTGGGTCAAAAGTCCTACATTAGTTGGGGAATGGACTGGTGATCTGCTTATATGCATTTGTGCAATCGTCCCTTCATGAGTTAACTTTTGGAGTTGAGTTAGACCTAGGTGTCAAATCTTTACATGGGCTTCCGGTCCACGCTCCAATTGGGCCTGAATGTGAAGGGGTTGTTACAGTGGGTTGGGTGTGTTTGGTATGAAGGAAAATGTTTTTTCATGGAAAATGATTTTCTATAAAATGTTTTCCAGGAAAATAAGTTATTTTTAAACTTATTTTCTCATGTTTGGTTGGTGAGTGAAAAATATTTGTAGTGTATGATTGATGAATGAAAAACATTTTTCAGAAAATATCTTTAATTTTTTGCTAGAGTAGAAAATATTTCATGTTATGACTCACATGGTCTATGTCGGTTAATGACTACTTCCCACAATAATGAACCAAGGTTACTTTTAAAGTATCTCACATACATGTGTTTTAAGGATGATTTAACTTGCATTGACCATGATCACGATTTATGTTTTCTAACCTCTTATCTTATGTTTTAACTTGGTCTTTGCATGTCATGAAAAGTCCTTTTAGCATGATTTCATAACTTTTATGCATTGCAATCATACTTGGTACATTCTTTGTACTAACACATACTCTTGCCTACATTATTTCACTAATGTAGGGTTCGACGCTCCTATTCCGCATCCTCGTGGCTAGTAATCACCTTAGTAGCTTTTGAAGAGTAGTGAGTCCTCATGTTCCGAGGACCAAACATTTTATTGCTTATCGTCTTTACTTTTCAAATATTGTATGTGATGTATGTGTTACGTCCCAATCACTCTTGTTGTAATAGATGGCTTTGAGACTATGTTAGACTTCCGCTTCATTTTGTCAAACTCTTTGATATAAAACTGTCTTTCAAACTCTTTCAGTTCTATTATATTGTATGATGTATGCTAAGTGACTTATGTAGAGCCTCTCGGGGTCTTATATGTCATGTCACGTCTAGGGTCTACTTTGGGTCGTGACACCCGAACCCTACTCTAGACTCTAACACGTAACCCGATACTCGACCCCGATTCGAGATCCGACTTTGACTCTCGACCCAGGTCTTGAATCTAAATTTGGTCCCCAAACCCGACCCCAATCGAAGAGTCAACCTTGACTCCCAACCCAATTTCTGACATCCAACTCATGACCTAATTTTTGAACTAAGACCCAACACCCGACTAGAGACTTGAATGCCGAACCTTGATCCAACCCTGACATCAACACTCGACTTTTGAATTCCAAGCCCTCTTCCAATACCAGCACCCAAATTGAGACCCAACACCAAAATTAAGACTTTATTTCGAGTCAAGACAGACCCGAAGACTGACCTGGGACCAAACTTTCGAAATGGGATCTGACTTCGACATCCGATGCTAACATCCTACCTTGATAATCGATTTGGAACCCAAACCTAAAATCTGACATGAAATCGACCTCGACTCTCAACCTAAAACTTGACTTCAACACTTGATTCAAAACCCTTGAAATTCGATCTCTAATCCTAACCCGAGATAGGAATCCGACTCAATCCAGAACTCTGGAGTTGGGTCTCAAATCGAGGTTGTGAATCAAGTTTCCAATCGAGAATCAAGAGTCGGATCTAGGATCAATAATGTCAGGAATCGATATCAAGACATGAGTTAGGATGTAAACTTGAAGTGTGAGGTTCAAAATAGGTTTTGGGTTATGTTATCTTACTTTTAAAGTAAGTCATTTTCCTTAAATATGAGGAAAATAAGTTGACGTGGAAAATATTTAAGCCAACCAAACATGAGAAAAAATTTCCTTCATACCAAACACATCCTCAAAAGTCCCACATTGGTTGGAGAATGCACTGGTGCTTATATGGATTTGTGTGATTCTCTCCTCATGGGATAACTTTTGAGGTTGAGTTAGATCCATGTGTCATATCTTTACATATTTTCTCCTTTTCCCTATTTGGTATGACATGAATAGTTCTTCGCAAAAAATGTTTTTTCCTAAAATTTGATCTGCTAAGTGCGAGAAGGACAACCTTGGAGCAAGTCAAAGCTATTTACATGTGATTTATAGGTCACATGTTCAAGCCATGCAAAAAAAAACAAAAAAAAAAACTAGAAAACATTACAAAGTCTTTTTCAAATCTCGTTGGGCAAGGCCAATTCAATGTTTCAAGCCCATATTGACAGCTCTAGATACCGGCCTTAATTCTTGTAAAATGATCTCATGAGATTTCATGCTCTCAATTTAGGAATGATTCCTGAAAAAGAAATATTTTTATTTACTTGACAAAATAATAAAGAGGTGTCATATTCCTATCCTTTTTGTAGGTAATGGCAGAAAATCTACTATTAGTCTATTACTCTCTCTGTCCCAGTTTATATGACTTACTTAGTCAGTCTAAAAATAATACATTTCTATAATAAGTAACAATTTAACTTTAAAATGTTCATTTTATCTTTAATGAAATGATTTATACCCAACCAAACCAATTTCTATCACTTATTTTAGACCACAAGTTTCAAAAGTTTTTTTTTTCTTAAACTCCGTGCTGAGTCAAACCAACTCATATAAAATGGGATGGAGAGAGTAATTTTTTTTTATAGGGAATATAATTCATTTTGTAGTTTGGTCAAAGAGAACTGAATATACATAATTTAACTCCTATGAAAATTTACTAGTCTTTCGATTCCAAATACACATATCTTAAATGTTGGTCAAAGTCCAGATAATTTTAAGGTAAGAAAATCTACTATCCCCTCCGTCCACTTTTATTAGTAATGTTGCGCTTTTCGAAAGTCAATTTGACTAATTTTCAAAGTTAAAATGATATTTTAAAATTTAAGAACATTTAAAAACTAAACAAAAAATACTAAAAGTTAAAAAAATTTCTTCAATCAATAAAATAAATAAATAAATATATATATATATTAAGATATTAGTCAAAGTCGAGATCGTTTGACTCCTATGAAAATCTACTATTGGTATTCATTATGTCTTAATAAGGAATATAATTCATTTTGTAGTTGGTCAAAGAGATCTAAATTTACATAATAATAATTTGACTCCTATGTTGACATTAAATTGAAAAACTAGTAATATGTGTATATATATATATATATTTCAAACCAAATCAAGCAATTAGAAAAATAATTTCTATACCAATGGAGAAGTTTCACCTTTTGATTTCAGTTATTTTCTCAATATTGGTTGTAGTTTTGAGCTATGAAAAATCTTTTTCACCCCTCAACTCAAGTTACATCATGGAAGCAAGAAAAAGATTTATGTCTTTTGATACAACTAAACTTCTAGATCCTCCAAGGCCATCCTATACTTTTTCCATTTACAATCGTGATTTGTTTGAAAAGTCAAAGTTCAAGGACTATGACTCATTACTTGAACATAGGCTCGCTCGTTCTCAAGCTAGAGCAAACCATTTGGCTTTGATTCTCTAGAATGGTAACGTGACAAGGCCACACGGAGCACGTGAGAGTAAAAGGGAAAACGGAAAGGTTCCCACATCAACAAGTATAGAATTCGCAAATGGTGAGTATGTTGCATCTTTTATTCTTGGGACTGATCAAATTAAAAGGCTCTTGCTAATAGACACTGGAAGTGATTTAACTTGGTGGCAATGTGGACCATGTAGACCAAATAAGTGTTATGAACAAAAACATGAACCTTTATATGATTTTACCAAGTCTAAAACATATCGAAAACTTGATTGCCTTGCTCAAAGTACAAGTTGTGTATACAAGTCCAAGGTTTATGACTGTATTCCGTATGATAATACATGTATCTATGATTACAAATACGCGGATGGATCAAGAACAAGAGGTTGGATTGCAGACGAAGTGATTACTTTTGTTTTAGACTCAAATCCGGTAAAGATTCTTTTTGGATGTGGCAGAGATCAAACGAATGGAACGGCTTTTAGTGGTGAATATTCTGGTATTGCTGGCCTCGGACGAAGAGTAAATATAGGTTCATATTCTTTACCATCACAATTGAAGGCAGATATAATGGCGTTATGTCTACCGGAGTTTTACTCCACAAAACCATCAACACTTAGCTTCCACACAACGCCATATAAGAAAAAAACATCAGCACGACTAATACCAAATTACAAATTACCTACATTTTATTTCGTCAACCTTTATAAAGTTTTAATTAACGATAAGGAAGTCCCATCGTTCCCATCATTTTCGCTGAATATTGGAAATGGCATGACCGGTGGTTGCATTGTGGATACAGGATCAATTGTTACCAATTTCCCTGCAGATTTTTATGATGAATTCCGTGATACATTCAGAAAGGAAGCAGGAGATATTCCTTTGTATGATGCTCCATATGGAGATTTTGACACTTGCTATATGGTGGATCCAGGTGTGGTACCAACTTTCCCCGTTGTTAAGATGTACTTCGATCACCAAAACCCGGAAAATTTGTTATTACTAGAACAAAAACGAGTCGTGGTGCATGAGAGGGGGCTATTCTGTCTCGCATTTATTCCATGGGACCAAAACATCGCGATTATAGGAAGTTATCAACTTCAAGGTATAGGATTAACTTTTGATACTGCAACAGATACTTTGTCTTTTGAATTAGATGCATGTAATTAATTAATTTGTAGATGTTGCAATCTAAAGTTGTACCCAAATCTACTATTGTTATTATTCAAATAAAATTTCGGTTTTAGGAATTTTGTTGACGGTGTTCAAAACTTTAGTATGTCATTTTTGACCTATCTATACACACAATATTAACTTTTTTGAACGCCTCGTATATTAGTCCTATGTCAGGAAGACTAATGCCTAAACCTTTTTTCTCATCAACATACCAGTAATGTACTGTTATAAATTTGAAATATGAAACCATATGTCTATTAGTCGAAATTCGACCAATAAGCCAACATATTAAAACTTTTGAATTGGGATCTAATCCCGACACTCAAACCGAGACCCAACCCTGACTCTTGACTCCAACCAAACAGAACACGAAGGTTCCATACGCGTTCTAAAACACATGTTATTAGAGGACTTTATTCAAACAACGACAATTACAATCATCGGATACATAGCTCCAGGTATATTAGAACTTTTAAACTATATGAAAATCTAATATTCCCTCCATTCCAAAAAAGTTGTCAAGTTTCGCTTCTCAAGAATCAAATTAACTAATTTCAAAGCTAAATTAGATTAACATTTGTTAGGACCGAAATAATCAGGTTCAATGATGAAGCCAGGTTCAATGGTTGAGCCAGGTTAAAAACTGGTGTTCATCATGGCGGGTGTAGTTCTAGCCGCAACCTTTTTGATAGTAGTGATGATTTTTGTTGGAGAAATTGTTTCAGAGAGGTTCTCTGTGACGAGACATAAATTTTGCAGAGGAGATGCAAGCTATTGAAGAATATGTGAAGAGGGGAGCAAATTTATTTTGTCAGAAATTCAAGCCAAGAGGGAGATTTGTTGGGTATTTGCCCTGAGTTTCTTACCATAAATAGGTTTTCCTTTTTCGAAAAGGAAAACATAAAGTCTCCATATTTGGCTAGTCCTTTTCTTGTAGTAAAATGTTTATGACTCTATAAATAGAGACTCGTTCCTTCTAACTTAATCAACATTCACAATGTAGTCCTAGGGGCTTTGAGAGTTTTGGTTAGGGGGAGAATTTGTGGGACACAAGTGCTACGTTATCACTTGTGTAAACCTCCTTATAGTCCGAGTGAATCGGTTGAGGTTATTTTTCTCTATATTTTGTACTCTCATATTTATATAGTTGATTGTTCATCTCCTGTGTTGACGTAGGTCAATCTAGCACAAATGCACAATATACACCGATGTTTCTACTATTCAAATAAAAATTCTATGTTTTAGGAATTTTGCTAAGGGTGTTCAAAACTTCACTATATATCTCTAAAAAGTTGTTTTTGACCGATATACACTATTATTTTTTATATGCGCAATATAGTTTTTCAACATTGTGCATTTTGAGTGACCATCCTTAGGTAAATGTAGCTTCGCCACTAGAAGGGACGATGTATTCTTCATCAAGCCTATGCCGAACTCGTACCTATAATGGTGGCTACCCCTGCTTCTAGTCCACATTCAACTTGATTCATTTCAGGGTCCCCTGTTTGGTCATGGATTTGAGCAATCGCAGCAACATTCCAATATATTTGTTGCATTTTGTTGGCCTATCGATCACCATTACCTTTGTTCTCATTTGGATTATCACTGAAGCGTCTTCTTAGCACTGCGTAAGCCAAAGGGAAAACAAAAGATGTATATAGAGTAAAGTGAAAAGCGACTAACCCATCACAAAACTACAAACAAACAGAACACGACAGTTCCATACGCATTCTAAAACAGGTCCAGTTGAAAAAACATCATTGACAAAACATGACATTTAATATGTTGTTAGCAACACAAAATGTCTTGAGTCGAGGTAAGGAGCCGATTTCAGGTTGTCTAATTTGAAGATATTAAGAAAAGAGCAATTTGCAATGCCACCTGGAATTCGTTGATCAAGAGATCAAAAGTTACAATAAATCCGATTAATACTATATCCGAAGGAATGGTACCATATAGCTTGTTGTTCGAAAGATCAACAATCTTGAATGTCTCGTGGAGACTCACCCATTAGTTTCCTTGAATTCTATAACTTGTATGTTTTCTTTGTTTCTAAAAATCTCGCATCCAGAGTCACTAAAGCTTTTAACGACATTTATATCCACTGCTGGTTATAAATACTGATATTTGCTATAGTGTAACTTCTCCAGAGCCATTCCATCATCTTTAACTTTGTTACCTAACCTTCCATACATATACCTTTCGATGAATCAATTTCATCTTCCATTTCCAATCTAACAAAGTTGGAATAAAAGAGTTAAGGTGTGTCTCTAAGATTTCGGTCATAGTCTAGGGGATACTTGTGCCTAATCCCAATCTTAAATAAATAAAGTTCCAAAATAGGATAACATTCATTAGATGTTCTTTATTAGGAATGTCTTTTATTAAATTAAATATTTTCCTTAAGTTTGACCAAAATATAAAGAGAATCAGATCTCCATATTTAACTTTGTGTTTCTTCTTATTTACATAACCAAATTGAAGCAATTAGCAAAATAACAATGGAAAAGTTTCTCCATTTTCACCTTTTGATATCAATTATTTTCTCAATTCTACTTCTTGTGTTGGGAAATGCAAATTCTCTATCACCCCTCAACTCAACTTACATTATGCAAACTAGAAAAAGATTTATGTCTCTTGATCCAACTAAGCTTCCCGATCCTCCGATGCCATCCTATACTTTTACTATTTACCATCGCGATGTATTTGAAAAATCAAAATTCAAGAACTACGACTTGTTGCTTGAAAATAGATTTGCTCGATGTCATGCTAGAGCAAGTTATTTAGCTTCGGTTCTTGAATCCCAAAATGGTGCACAAGGAAGTGAGATTCCCGAGCTGGTCCAAAAATCAACGGATATTTTCTATGGGAGTGGTGAGTATGTCGCGTCTTTTTTGATTGGCACTCAAATGATAAAAAATTACTTGTTATTAGACACTGGAAGTGATTTAATTTGGTGGCAATGTGGACCATGTGAGGCATGTTACAAACAAGATCAACCTCTATATGATTCTACTGCATCCAAAACATTTCGAATTATAGGTTGCAATCAACATGGTAAAAGTTGCAGGACTGTGAGTCCAGCCTATTATTGCAATCTAGAAAATTTCGAGTGTAGATATGATATGCATTACGGTGATAATTCACAAACAAAAGGTTTTATAGCAGACGACGTGATTACTTTTCTTGTAGAACATTGGCAAGTTAGGGTCACATTTGGATGTAGCAAAGATCAAACTGGTGAACTAAATTTCAGTTCTTTCGCCTCTGGGATCGTTGGCCTTGGACGCGATCTCACAGATGGATATTCGTTACCATCGCAATTTGGGGGAAACGTAATGTCTATGTGTCTACCATCTTTTGATTCAGGAAAAGGATCGGTTCTGAGTTTCCAAACTAGCAAGTTGCCAAGAGCAAAATCAGCAAAATTGTTATTTAATTATAGGTACCCTTCATTTTACTTTGTCAACATTTATAAAGTTTTTATTAACGATAGGGAGGTTCCGGTGAGCCCCTCGTGGTGGAATTTCAAAGGACCTATGATGAACGGTGGAATGTTCGTGGATACAGGGACAAGTTATACAACTTTTCCTCATGATTTCTATACTGTATTCCGTTACATATTCCGAGCAGAAGTGCAAGATATTCCCATGGCTGAAATTCCTGTCCAACCTTTCGACACTTGCTATAAGGAAGATCCAAATGGTCGTGATTTATACTTTCCTGTTGTGAAGTTGTACTTTGGGAGCGTAAACTCGAGTACAATGTTGCTTCTGGCACAAGAACGAGTTGTTGTGCACTATCGCGGGCTTTACTGCTTGGCTTTCGTTGGATGGAATAGTGAGAGATCAGTATTAGGCATGACTCAACTCCAAGGTGTAGGATTAACTTTTGATACTATATCAAGTACTTTGTCATTTGACATTGATGCATGTGATTGAGTTGTTATATAAAGCTAAACTCTGTTTATCTCTTGAGAATCTTCGTTTTTTTATTTCCTACCAAACGGTAACATAGATGATTATTTCGTAAGTTGGAGTATTCAGCTGACAAAGTGGAGACGACTTGAGGTGTCATAATCACAAAGTTGGAGTGTTTAGTTGTCTTCTATGACAAAGTTAAGGTGTCTATCTATGTATTATGGCTTTAATTGATTTGTATTTCCTGCCACATTTTTCGTAACGGACTAAAATGGAAACTATGTCACATAAACTGGAATGGAAGGATATTGTACTTTATTTGAGTTGAAATCGATCACAAAACCACCAATTAACAGAGTATGGTAATTCCATACGTGTTCTGAAGTACATGATTTTTTGTTGGAAAAGTGGCCATTTACATCTCTACATCTCGGAGCCAAAGTGGTGAGGGAGTGTTTTCCCCCAAATGTGTGACTTCTGGTGCGACCAAATTTAATCTGGCTCCATTATCAGTATCGAACACTAGATGTGAAATCAAAAAAGATTTGTTATTACTCTGTGATCAAATTATACATATAAAATGTTTTCTTTAACACAAACATGATTTAGAATCAAAGCAAATAGATTGAACCGAACTTGCACCTACAACGGTACCTCTGCCCCTGAATCTAGCCACATGCAGTGGTACTTCAGGGTCACCTTTGATTTCATCTAGTGTGAAATCAAACGCGTGTTTTTATATTATATCGTCTATATCTCATTTTTAGTCCAATGAATCAAGCATCTATCAATAAAAGTATATCAATTATCATTTTATTCTTGAATTACATAATTCTGACATTATTATACCAATATTGCTTGTTCACCAATCAAACGGCCAAAAGTATATCATTAAATTAGCATGTCCTCGTTTAATATCGACATTACAATCTTTATGTAACGTGTTCACCAATCAAACTATCCTTACGTGGGGAAATGATCCCGATTCTTTTCCTCTGAAGTGGACAAATATTATTGGACAGAGGGAGTATATAATTGATGAGATGTAAATAGGAATTTTAATTAATAAAGTTCCTAAATAGCATAGATTCCCTAAGATTAATTAATTCTCTTTTTAGGAATGTATTTCTTGTAAAATAAAATATTTTCCTTAATTGGACAAAAATATACAGAGAATCAAATTAAACCTCTATATTTAAATATGTGTTTCTTCCTATTTGCATAAACAAATTGAAGCAATTAGCAAAATACCAATGGAAAAGTTCTACCATTTTCATCTTTTCACTTCTATTATTTTCTCAATTCTATTTAATGTGTTGGAAAATACAAATTCTCTATCACCCCTCAACTCAACTTACATAATGCAAGCTAGAAAAAGATTTATGTCTCTCGATCCGACTAAGCTTCCCGATCCTCCAATGCCATCCTATACTTTTACTGTCTACCATCGCGATGTATTTGAAAAATCAAAATTCAAGGACTACGACTCGTTGCATGAAAATAGACTTGCTCGATCTCATGCTAGAGCAAGTTATTTAGCTTCGGTTATTAAATCTCAAAATGGTGCAGGTGAGATGCTTGAGCTGGTCCCAAAATCAACGGATACTATCTACAGGAATGGTGAGTATGTCGCGACTTTTTTGATTGGCACTCAAATGATAAAAAACTACTTGTTAATAGACACCGGAAGTGATTTAGTTTGGTGGCAATGTGGACCATGTGAAGCATGTTACAAACAAGATCAACCTCTATATGATTCTACTGCATCCAAAACATTTCGAATTATAGGTTGTAATAAATATGCTTTAAGGTGCAGGACTGTGGATCCAGCCTTTCATTGTAATCAAGAAAATTTTGAGTGTAGATATGATTTGGTCTACGGGGATCATGTGCAAACAAAAGGTTTCATAGCGGATGATGTGATTACTTTTAATTTAGACGACCATCGAACGATTAGGATCACATTTGGATGTAGCAAAGATCAAACTGGTGAAAAAAATTTCAGTGCTTTCTCTGCTGGGATTCTTGGCCTTGGTCGTGGCGATGGTCAATATTCTTTACCATCGCAATTTAGGGGTCACATAATGTCTATGTGTCTACCAACTTTTAATTCAGGAAAAGGATCAGTTCTTAGTTTCCATACAAGCAAATGGCCAAGAGCAACATCAGCAAAACTGTTATTTAACTATAGGTTCCCTTCATTATATTATGTCAACATTTATAAAGTTTTTATTAACAATCGAGAAGTTCCAGTGAGTCCTTCATGGTGGAAATTTAAATCAGATATGGGTGGTGGAATGTTGGTAGATACAGGGACAACTTTTACCCTTTTACCTCATGATTTTTATATCGTATTCCGTTACTTATTCAGAGAAGAAGTACGAGATATTCCTATGGCTAAAGATCCAAGCAATACTTTCGACACTTGCTATAAGGAATATCCGAGTGGTGGTAACTTATACTTTCCTGTAGTGAAGTTGTACTTTGGCAGCGTAAACTCGAGTACAATGTTGCTTCTGACACAAGAACGAGTTATTGTGAACCATCGCGGGGTGTACTGCTTGGCTTTTGTTGGATGGGATTACGATTTTTCAATATTAGGCATGACTCAACTCCAAGGAGTAGGATTAACTTTTGATAGTTCAGCAAGTACTTTGTCATTTGACATAGATGCATGTGATTGAGTATAAAAATTGGTACTAAAAGTTATTTTGTTATGTTAGTCTCATCGATAGGTGCCTTGAAACAAATTCTTCAGTCATCTTACCATCCAACTAGTCTTTCTTCCATACTTCCTTTTGGGCCAGCCCAGCATATCAAGCCCTTTGCCAACAAATTCATTCTCTCAATTTACGAAATATTTTTGTTTATTAGACAAAATAATATATAGGAGTCAAATTTTGCAGTTATGATAAGAAAATCTACTATGGGGAAAATTGAATTTACATATTAACTCCTTTTGGATTGTTTTTGCTGTTAGTCCAAGAGAATTGAATTTACATATTAACTCCTATCTTGACATAAACTAATATATATATATGAGTGCAAGGAGTAGTAGACATATCTCAAACCAAATCAAGCAATTAGAAAAATAATGGAGAAGTTTCACCTCTTGATTTCAATAGTTTTCTCAATTTTGATTGTAGTTTTGGGCAATGAAAAATCTTTTTCACGCCTCAACTCAAGTTACATCATGGAAGCTAAAAAAAGATTTATGTCTTTTGATATAACTAAACTTGTCGATCCTCCAATGCCATCCTATACTTTTGCCCTTTACAGTCGTGATTTATTTGAAAAGTCAAAGTTCAAGGACTATGACTCGTTACTTGAGAATAAGATTGCTCGTTCTCAAGCTAGAGCAAAGCATTTGGCTTGGATTCTCGAGAGTGGTAATGTGACAAGGCCACATGAGAGTAAAAGGGACAACGGAAATGTTCCAAAAACAACAAGTGTACAATTCTTAAATGCTGAATATATTGCAACTTTTAATCTTGGCACTGATGATCACAAATTTAAAAGGTACTTGTTAGTAGACACTGGAAGTGATTTAGTTTGGTGGCAATGTGGACCATGTAGCAAAAATAAGTGTTATGAACAAAAAAATGAACCTCTATATGATTTAACTAAGTCGAGAACATATCAAAAAGTGAATTGCAGGGCACAAAGTACAAAATGTTTACTAAGGCCAAAGATTATTGAATGTAGTTCGTATGAAAATACATGTGTATATGATTACAATTACGAGGATGGAGGAAGAACAAAGGGTTGGATTGCAGAAGACGTGATTACTTTTGTTTTAGACCAAAAAACAGAAAGGATTCTTTTTGGATGTGGCAGAGATCAAACGAGTGGAAAGCCTTTTGATGGTGATTTTTCAGGAATTGCTGGCCTCGGACGTAGAAGGGCTGGTGGATATTCTTTACCATCGCAATTTGGGGCGGATATAATGGCCATATGTCTACCGGACTTTTTCACCACAGGAAAATCAACAATTAGCTTCCACATATCACCATTTAAGAGAAAAACATCAGCAAAACTATTACCAAATCCCGCATTACCTCTTTTTTATTTCGTCAACCTTTTTAAAGTTTTTATTAACGATAAGGAAGTCCCATTGCCGCGGAATATTGGAAATGATATGAACAGTCGTTATTTCGTGGATACAGGAGCAACTTTTTCCTTTTTCCCTAAAGGTATTTATAAAGTATTCCGTGATACATTCAGAAAGGAAGCAGGTTTTCCTTTGTATAAATCTCCACCTTCACAATTCGATACTTGCTATAAGGCGGATCCAGGTGTGGCACCAGATTTCCCCACTGTGAAGATGTACTTTGGTCAACAAAAACCGGAAAATTTGTTGTTTCTAGCAGAACGCCTAGTCGTGGTGCATCAGCAGGGGCTATTCTGTCTTGCTTTTATGTCATGGAAGAACCCCGTCACAATTATAGGAAGTTATCAACTCCAAGGTGTAGGATTAACTTTTGATACTGCAACAGATACTTTGTCTTTTGACATAGATGCATGTGGTGCTGATTGAATTTTTTTTATAAATGTTGTAATCTAAAGTTATATCCAAATCTACTATTACTAGAATTTGTTTTCATCTTTTTTTTAATTGTTATTGTTGATTGACACTACTAAAAATGTGGTCAGGAAATCTGTCCGAGTTTGGCTTGTCTGAAATGTTTCTAACAGTTGGACATTCCCGTTTTTAGTAGTGTGGTGATCGATGAGAGATGCAGGTCCCTCAATCGAGCACAAATGCACAATAGACAACAACGTTCAAAACTTTAGTATATATTTACCTATCTATATACACAATATTATTTTTATATATGGATAACAACGGTTACCATCCTTTGGTCAATGTAGCTACGCCACTAGAAAGGATGACGTATTCTTGATCAAGCCTATGCGAACTTGTACCTATAATGTTGGCTCTACCCCTGCTTCTAGTCCACATGGAACTGTATTTTAGGGTCCCCTGTTTGGTCATGGATTCGAGCAATCACAGCAACAGACCGATATATTTGTTGCATTTTGTTGGCCTATCGATCACCATTACCTTTGTTCGCATTTGGATTATCACTGACGCGTCTTCTTAGCACAATGTAATCCAAAGGGAAAAAAAATATATGTATACATAGTGAAGTGAAAGGCGACTAGCTAGTAAAATTAGTAACTGCAAAAAGATAAATAAAAGATTTGGATAGACACGTTTGTCAACCGCTTCAGTTAAAAAAATTGAAATTGAAGAAACTATTAAATGTCATTTTTATAGAGACTCACTCCATTAGCAAAACTTCAATGGAAAAGCCAGAAAAAATGATTTATCCTATTGCGAGAGTTTTCCGCTATACATGATTTTCAACAATACATATTGCAATTATTAAAAGAAACAGGAAATTTGTTGGAATTTTTAAACGTGATTATGAAGCAGTGAAGAAATAAAGGTAGAAAAAGGGTTGTTGTAATAGCTTTTATGATATTTATTTGGCGAAGGAGGAGTAATTGCACTTTTTTATGAAGAACAAAATGAATAATTGAGTGTATTTCTTCTATCTTAAGGGTAGTATATGTGTAAGAGAAGAGAAGAATCGACATTACAAAAATAATGAAGATGAATTGAGAACAAGAGGAAGATGAAGCCAAGGAAGGAGATTAAGAAGAAGAAGAAGAAGAGAAACAAATAGAGGAACATGCTAATATGATAAAAGAAATGCGACAAATTAACTAAAGAGTTGCATTGAAGAATAATTGTTGTGAGTGTAGATTTTAACTTAATTCATTAAAGGTTAACTTAGTTTGGAGCTCTGACAAGGCCACAATGAGCACATGAGAGTAAAAGGGACAATGAAAAGATTCCGAAAACAACAAGTGTACAATTCGCAAATGGTGAGTATGTTGCATCTTTTATTCTTGGCGCTGAAAGGTACTTGCTAGTAGACACTGGCAGTGATTTAGTTTGGTGGCAATGTGGACCATGTAGACCAAATAAGTGTTACGAACAAAAAAATGAACCTTTATATGATTTAACTAAGTCAAAAACATATCGAGAACTTGATTGTCATGCACAAAGTACAAAATGTTTATTAAAGCCCAAGGTTTTTGAATGTCGTGAATCTGATAATACATGTGTCTATGATTACAAATACGCGGATGGAGCAAGAACAAGAGGTTGGATTGCAGAAGACGTGATTACTTTTTGTTTTAGACCAAAATCTGGTAAGGATTCTTTCTGGATGTGGCAGAGATCAAACAAGTGGAACAGAGTTTAGTGGTGAATATTCTGGAATTGCTGGCCTCGTACGTAAAAATATGGCTGGTGGATATTCTTTACAATCGCAATTTGATGCAGATATAATGGCGATATGTCTACCGGAATTTTACTCCACAAAACCATCAACAATTAGCTTCCATACAACACCATTTAAGAAAAGAACATCAGCAGGACTAATACCAAATTCCAAATTCCCTACATTTTATTTCATCAACCTTAATAAAATATTTGTTAACGACAAGGAAATTCCATTGTTCCCATCATTGTCACGGAATTTTGGAAATGGCCTGACCGGTGGTTGCATCGTGGATACAGGAGCAACTGTTACCAGTTTCCCTGAAGATTTTTATGAAGAATTCCGTGATACATTTAGAAAGGAAGTACGATGTATTCCTTTGTATGATGCTCCACTTGGAAATTTTGACACTTGCTATATGGTGGATCCAGGTGAGGTAGCAAATTTTCCCGCTGTGAAGATGTACTTCGGCACCAAAACCCGGAAAATTTGTTGTTACTAGAACAAGTGAACAACAACGAGTTGTGGTGCATGAGAGGGGGCTATTCTGTCTGGCTTTTACGAAATGGAAATACCCCGTTGCACTTATAGGAAGTTATCAACTTCAAGGTATAGGATTAACTTTTGATACTGCAACAGATACTTTGTCTTTTGACTTAGATGCATGTAATTGATTGAGTATCTATGAAAAAAAATTAAAAGTTGTACCTAAATCTACTTTTACTAGTTTATTTTCATCCTAAAGATATGTCATATGAGTCTAATTCGATCACAAAAGCTAGCTCATGAGGGGAGGAATGTCCAAGTTAATATAAGCAAACAACTAGTTCATTCCCAACCAGTGTGGGATTTTGACCCATATTAACACCCTTCCCCCTTCACGCCCAAGTCCAACTGGAGCGTGTATCGGGAAACGGGGATGGACCTGACTCTGATACCATGTAAAGATAGACATTTGAGCCTAGCTAACTCAACCCTAAAAGCTAGCTCATGAGGGGAGGAATGTCCACGTTAATATAAGCAAACAACTAGTTCATTCCCAACCAGTGTGGGATTTTGACCCATATTAACACCCTTCCCCCTTCACGCCCAAGTCCAACTGGAGCGTGTATCGGGAAACGGGGATGGACCTGACTCTGATACCATGTAAAGATAGACATTTGAGCCTAGCTAACTCAACCCTAAAAGCTAGCTCATGAGGAGAGGATTGCTCAAGTTCATATAAGCAGATGTGGGGCTTTGACACACTCTAACAATTATCAATGAAGCATCTTCTTACATTACACCATAAATGATCTCTAGTGACAATTAATTATCGACAATAGCTTAATTGCCCAAAAATAATTTTTTTTAGAGGCAATTACTAGTGATAATGCACTCTTTGTAAATGTTGCTAAAGTCTATAGTGACATTGGATCTAAAGAAAATTAACTAATGCTGGTAAAGGTTATCAGTCTTTGTTAATGTGCATATTTATTGTTGCTAAAAGCTATTCTTGTTGTAGTGTTAGCACCAAGCAAGCCAAAGGAATAAAAAGATGTATACAGAGTAAAGTGAAAAGCGACTAGCCTTTCACAAAACCACAAACAGACAGAACACAACAGTTTTATACGCGTTCTAAAACAAGTTCCAGTTGAAAAGCACCATTGACGAAACGCAACACTAGCCTTGTCAACGTGTTGTTGACAACACCAAAATGTCCTGAGTCGAGGTAAGGAGCCAATTTCAGGTGGGAATTGGACCTTATAGATTATTGTTGTCTAATTTGAGGACATTAGGAAAAGAGCAATCTGCAATGTCACATGGAAGCTATCAACTCGACTTAGTGCTAGAGGTACCTTAACTCACATCCAATTCACCTCTCACACTTAGGAATTGACATGTACACCTAGGAACCATAAAAGTTTCACCCAATTCGGTCTAATTACATTTGTAGAACAATTCAAGTCTTAGCCAGAAGTTTGAGGTGTTACAAATATAACGACACATTATTTCGAGACTTTTTTCCTCAAGTCTTTTAAAAGAATTATAGTTAATGAGATGTGTAAATAGGAAGCTTAATTAATATTTGACCCAATGTGAATAGAAAAACTACATAATTAAAGTTCCTAAATAGCATAGATTTCATGAGATTTATTAATGCTCTTTTTAGGAATGTCTTTCTTGCAAAATTACATATTTTCCTTAATTGAACAAAAATATAAAGAGAATCAGATCTCCATATTTAACTTTGTTTTTCTTCCTATTTGCATAAAAAATTTGAAGAAAGTAGAAAAATACCAATGGAAAAGTTCCACCATTTTCACCTTTTCACTTCTATTATTTTCTCAATTCTACTTATTGTGTTGGGAAATACAAATTCCCTATCACCCCTCAACTCAACTTACATAATGCAAGCTAGAAAAAGATTTATGTCTCTCGATCCGACTAAGCTTCCCGATCCTCCGATGCCATCTTATACTTTTACAGTTTACCATCGCGATGTATTTGAAAAATCAAAATTCAAGGACTACGACTCGTTACTTGAAAATAGACTTGCGCGATGTAATGCTAGAGCAAAATATTTAGCTTCGGTTCTTGAATCTCAAAATGGTGCACAAGGAGGTGAGATGCTCGAGCTGGTCCCAAAATCAACCGATATTTTCTACGGGGGTGGTGAGTATGTCGCGTCTTTTTTGATTGGTACTCAAATGATAAAAAATTACTTGTTAATAGACACTGGAAGTGATTTAGTTTGGTGGCAATGTGGACCATGTGTGGCGTGTTACAAACAAGATCAACCTCTATATGATTCTACTGCATCCAAAACATTTCGAATTATAGGTTGCAATCGACATGCTTTAAGGTGCAGGACTGTGGATCCAGCCTTTCATTGTAATCAAGAAAATTTCGAGTGTAGATATGATATGATATACGCGGATCATTCACAAACAAAAGGTTTCATAGCAGATGATGTGATTACTTTTAATTTAGACCATCGTCCGGTTAGGGTCACATTTGGATGTAGCAAAGATCAAACTGGTGAAAAAAAATTCAGCGCTTTCGCTTCTGGGATTCTTGGCGTTGGTCGCGCTGTTCAATATTCTTTACCATCGCAATTTGGGGGGCACGTAATGTCCATGGGGCAGTTCTGAGTTTCCATACTAGCAAGTGGCCAAGAGCAACATCAGCAAAATTATTATTTATTTATTTATTTTTTTAATCAAAAGTTTGAGGCTTATAGCCTCATTTATTTCCATTTCAAAAACAATCAGGCCCAAAACTGGCCCAATGTTGGAACTAAACAGAACAAAAGAAAAATCTAAAGCTAAATAGACAAAGCAACATCTGAGCAGTACTTTCCTAAAAATGAAGGAAGATGAAGAGGCGTAGAGGTGTTGGCATCGGAGATGGCGTCGAGCATCATTTTCAGCTAAACCAATTCCTGCGCTAAGTCTTGCAATAACTTCAACTTCATCTTCTCTCTGGAAATACTTGAAAGAGCTACACTTCGTTGCACAAATTATTGTTCATGAGTATGTTTGCTGTCAAAACGATCTTCTTGAGCTGTGGAACTTAGAATCTGAATATTGTAAACGAAACCTCAGGTACAATTAGTTTTCCTTTTATCAATTTGAATTCGGTGGATTGAAATCTAATAGATTTAATACCACCACCAGAACCTAAATCCACAAAAAGATTACTGATTAATTTGTGAGGTTATGCTGATACATCTCCACATCACTTGTGTAAGCAAACAGTACCTTTATCATCGTCCAGTTCTTCTTTCTCCTCTAATGAACATTCAGTAGTTTTCTAACACCTGAATGAGCAGTATATGAAATTTAACATAATTATAGATTAAATATGCTACTTTAGCCCCATTGAGTCCTGATTTTATATCATATGTAACACCTCAAAGCTCTCACCAGGTGCATGATATATTAACCAACGGAAACTAATTCAGACATCTTGAGGTATGTTAGTAGCGTACTCAATCTATGATTCATGTCAAACTTCATATGGAGTTGAGACTTGATGCAATGAAGATTACTGTATGGAGTCATACTTGTTTGTCTTATTCTCAACTGTGGAATGTTGTGTTTATCTAAATTGATGATTCTTCTGCCTTCACTTGGGACTTCCTGGAAATGGTTAAAATCATATGTACCTTGTTGTATTTGACTGTCTTATCCTCAATTGTGGTGTGCTTTGTTTATCTAAGATGATGATTCTTTTGGCTGTATCTGGAACCTCTTGAAAAGATCTAAATTCATATGTACCTGCAAAACGAAAAACCAAGTTAGCAAAAAAATCAGCAAGAGTATTTCCCTCCCTTAAGGAGTGTTGTACTCTTACTGACATAGAATTCCTTAATCTGTTGATGGAATTGACCTCCATTGTCACATTCCAAGGTATTTCCCACTCTCCATTTAGCATATGTACCAAAGCCAAAGAGTCGGTTTCAATTATAATGTTTTGAAAATTGTTTTCCAAACAACATTGAAGACTTTCTCTAATAGCAATAGCTTCAGCAACTAGATTCGTAGAATCAGGAATCTGCACCCCCTTAGCAAACATCAACTCTCCTTCATGGTTTCTGATACAAAAGGCAGCAGCACTAGGTCCAGGATTACCCCTTGAAGCCCCATCTGTATTACATTTCAACCACCCATCTGGTGGAGGATACCATTTAACCCATTTCGAAATAAACTCAGGCCTGAAACCATCTAATAAAGCAACCATTTGAGGCCAAGTGGAAGGGATATCAGTGTATTGAAACTTCAACTTCATGAATTTCTGAACAGTACTACTGATGTCCCAAATCACTT